CCCCCATTTTGACACACGCTAATACCTTGCAAAAGCGTCCCACTCATCAAAGCCGCGGGGACCCACATGCCAAATGTTGTGCTTGGCCAAGGTTGCCCTGAGACACTTGCAAGGTTGCATGTGCTGAAGGGTTCAGCCACTGGTTCAAACCCCATGTCGCATGCCCCAAAACTTAAATTGTTGGTTGATGGTCAACTCCAAACCTAGAAAGAACATTGAGTTGTGTCATCATTTCAGAGAACGATATGAACATTATTATGAAACCTTGACCCAAAAACAGGGTATATGTCAGAGGGACTCCTCAGCTTTCACAGCGAGCCCCTGCTAGAGCTGATGCGCCCTTTGCAAAACAAAAAGCTGGGGAACCATCGCTTTCCAACATCGGCTCACATCTAAGGATGGATCTTCAAACTACTTGTTCTAGTTCGTAGTTCCAGCCAGCTATGTAGACGCCACAGGCAATGTTGAAACATCAAGAGCTTTGGCTTTCAACAAGCCAATGAAGTTTGGAAGGATATTTTGGTCACACCAAATGGCAATATCATCTTCCCTCTAACGTCCCATTACGCGTGTCATTTGCGTCCCATGGGGGGGGGCGGGCTATTGCCGGAAAGGAGGACCAAGAAGCTCATGTTCCTTTTGAGACCTTGACTCATGTTCTCGCTCTCTCCTTTCTGTCCGGGCAAACTGGGCAGTCTAATGGGTTGCTCCCACGGCCCCCGGGTAAATGAAAGGACCGCATGAAAGGAAGCCAACCAAGAAACTCAAGGAATCTGGAACTTCCCAAAGTTTGCCCGTCCCTTTGAGAATAAATCAATCGTTACACGTCGCACAAATATGAAATAAGTTAGCTAGAACAATTGGATGTTCCGTGGTTGATCTTTTAGGAACGGCTGGGAGCGACCTTGTAAAAGGGTCCACCCTCATGCTCTGCAGGTTGACCAGGGCTCCATGTCCCAAAACCTGCTTTACAAGGGAAACCTGTAAGTCATCAATTTCCCTGGCACACAAGCGCTTCAAGGGGCCCGGTTCCGCTTCCAAGTTGCTGATTTGTGCCTCTCGATTCGCGGACTGCGATTCATCGAAGGTCTCCATGGAGGGATCTTCATGCTCCTTGGCCAAACGCCGCTTCAACGCCTGACCAAACACAAGTGGATGAGAAAAGCACAAAAAAGGCAGACCCAAAGCAGAAAAAAAAACTCGGTTGCTTTCTGCTCCCCTGCTAAAACCTCAACGCTTTGGTGGTTTAAGGGGAACACCCATTTGGCAAAAAGTTGAAGTCCTAACATCCGTTGGCAAGTTGCACCAAAGAAAAGATGCACCAAGAAAGCTCAAAGAAGGGAAAATGAGTTGAAACCCACACGAGGCAACATATGGAAAAGGCAAAACTGCAAATGCCCAAGGCAACCACACATGGAGGCCCAGAAGGGCTTCAAAAAAGCACGGATTCCGAATCCGCAGACCCCAACGAACACGCATGGAAGCATAGAACTCACAGATCACATGCATGATGATGACACTATGACCAACGGAAAAGGACAGCATATAATAGGATATGAACTTCCCCAAAGCGACAGGCAACCGGCAAACCCCAATAGGGAACACATCAGTTGCTCACATGGAAGCTCCTATCATCAGAGAACACTTGGTTGGTGCTGTGGATTGGTGGTTTTGGTTTGGATTTGAATCCCCTGAATCTTGTGACATGGGAAACCAGTTCCTAACTTCCAAACCATGCACCCCCAACAACTAGTGAAGCTGACCTGATGTTTTCCGAGGTCAGGTTCATGGCAGCTTCATGGTGTTCGTCTCTGCTTGGGAAGTAACGGAACTTGGTTTCTGTTGACCCCTCTGCAAAAAGTTTAACTTTTTGTGGGGTTAATGGAAAAACCATGGATTTCCCAAAAAGTTAAAGTCTAAAGATCCAACTCAATAGCACTCAAGGGAAACTGGAAATGAGGCATTGGGCCGCGGCATTTTCCCATGTGGTCCAACGGACACACCAACGGACACGAATTGTACTCTCCAGCCCTCTGTCCAATCGCTGGTGCGGTAGCAAAAGACTTTGTTTTTTGCAGGCCCCTACTAAACATGACCAGAACCAAAAGACCAAACCAATTACACACCTGCCAACAACCCTGGCCCAGCTACCCGCCAACCTGTGGAACTAAGGTCCCGCCTCGCAGGATATTCCATCTATCCAAGCACAAACCAGCGGAAACGCAGCTTTCACGAGCCCAGCCACGAACGAGGCCCCCCCCACTTTGCACATGGATTTTAAGGGAAACCCTCGGGGAAACCCTCGGGGAAACCCTCGGGGAAACCTCCCTGACGCATGTTGGCCTCCGCGGGACCCTGAGCTCCTTTTCCCCGTTCCTCTCAACCCAATGGTCTTTAGACATAGGATTTAAATCTTTGCTAGCATCCGAAAATTTCAGTATATATAAAGGGCAAATATATGAGATGGTACCAAACCTTGATCCAAAAGCAGGCCTGAGTCGGCTCCTATTTGGGGCAAACCAAGCGAGGGGCTTGGTTTGGATCCTATGACAGCGGTCTGTCGGCCAAGGCTCTTGGTCGCTCCCTTGGGACATGGCCGGACCATCCACTGAATACTTCGCTATCCGCAGAGAGAGACTGATGCTGCGGATGTTGCGAGCTTTGGTCATGCTTCAACCCAGTCTCCCAAAGACGCTCGCCTGCAAGGGCTGTCAAATGGTAGCCGAAGCTGCACTTCTTTGGGAAGGGGCCAAATCGGTTTGGTCGCCCGAGAGCAACACATGCTAAACAGGGGGACTGGAAAAGGAACAATCACCGAATTTTATTCCTATTGATTACCCTGGTACCACGAAACTTTCTCCCATTTTCTTAAGCCGCCCGGAAAAAGAATGAAAATCCAGTGCGCAGATCCCTTTAAAAAGCCATACACGGGAACACCAGTTTTTCTGGTTATGGATCGGACCCGAGGATTCTGACCCCAAACCGAACCAACCGTATCCCTCAAGGCTTGGGATCGATGCGGGACCTCAGGTAAGTGGTGATCGTAAGCCTGGTTCCGCATAACCCACAAAAGCCATGGCTATGAGATAGTCTCCGTTCAGTGGGTTATAACAAGGCTCACCCACTTGCTAAGTGCCCAAGTGGTGAACAACGTGTCCGATGTGTGATGACTTGCGCGACTTGACGTACGTCATTCCCTATCAACCGTGAATAATCAAACTGTTCCGACTTTGTCTCCAAGTCTGAGGAACCTCTTTCACTTGCTTTTTCGCCTTGGAAGAAATGTGAACATATGTCCAGTAGTGGTAGATTCCCTTTAAAACCACCGGGCAAGAAGCATCAAACGGAAGCTCCGAACATGGGTTTGTCTATAGGCCTGTCAAGGTGCCCTCAAAGACCCAGTCTCAGTCTTGCGGGACCACGTCCGACTTCCACTCAAAATCAACAGCTCAACACAAGCCCCACTTGCCCAATGAACTTGAATACATGCATCATTTATGATCATTTGGTGGACATTCAGGGTTCACGTCCACCGACCATGATAATGACATCCCAGGGGTGCGATCATAACGATGCAAGCAAAAGTCGCAGCCCAGCTGAGGCTTGACTGGACCCCATCCAGTACTCGGTAACCTACCACGTCCTTAACTTCTGGTAGCTCCTTAGAGCCTCCCTTCCAAGCACCAACCGCGCCGCAAGAATGGCGGCTTTCCTCTTGATTTCCCTTTCAAACCAACCAAAAGGGAGCCGCATCATTGCACCACTACCAAATGCACCCCCATTTGATAGGTTAAAGGGAATAACAGTTTCTGACTTTGATACCCCCCAAATCCGCAAAACAGCCAAATAATCACATAAGTTTCCTCCCAGCAAAGGGGGCCGCCCTTTTCAAGCTCGACACAGCGCGCGCCATGCGCGCCTGATGCGTGGAGCCTCCAAAGTTACTTGTGGTCCATTGCGTCTTGTCCGTCAAGGACGCCAGACTTCCGGCGCGACGCAGACGCCCAGACCTCACGGCGATGATGTTCTCTCAGACTCTCAGCCCAGCCAGCCCCTCTTTGCTGGTTGCGAAAAAATGGCCATGCCAAATCTGTTGGCGTTTTTGGGTTGAAACCCGTTGGTTGGTTGAGTTGATTCTGAGCAAATCAGAATAGTGAATTTATCCTTCGAAACTAAGGGGTCCTCAAAGGGACCTTCAGACCTTCATGGGTGATGTTGCAACCCCCTGGAAAGTGACGGCGTTGTAGTTCGCCCAGTTGATATTAGTTCGCCTTCAAAATCCATACAAAAAGGCATGACTAAAAGCAAACAACACAAACACAATTCCCTTATCTTCAATGGGGTAGCCAAAATGGGTTGGAACCCCCTCCCAACAAATAAAGGCACACACCAAGGGGGGGGTGCTGTGCAATTCAAGGGGTCCTTGAAAGGGGGGGCGTGATCGACATCATCTAATTCTATACACCGATTCCTAAGACCACATCCCTTTAAGGTCGCGATTGAAATTGCTCAGGAATATGATTGGGCAGCGTTAGGGGCTTGGATAACGCCAGCTCGGTCCCTGAAGTTTTTTCAGGGACTTCACATGATCCACTCCCCCTTCCTCCACTTGCCCTGGCTTGCTCCAAGTAAAGCCGCATTGAGGAAACTCATCTAAGAGTGCCCCAGGCGATGTTTGAACAAGCTGAAAAGGGAAACAGGGTTTGCCTTTTTGGCCCTCTCTTGAGGAACAAAAGTCGGTTTGGGCAACTGCTAGAATCCCTCAGGTTTATGTTTGTTTCCCTCCCAAGCCTCTCTTTTCCGGGAGTCAGGCAAAACCTGGATCCATCCAAAGGCCATGCCCGAGCCCCCGGGCTTGCCCAAGGTGGTTCGCGCCAGCCCGAACTGCATGAGACTCTGCTGCTTTTTCAGGCGCTGCACAGGGCACACGCAAAGAATACCTCAGAACCGCCCACTCCCGAGGACTTCCGCAAGCTCAGTAAGCTTAGGCAATTCGGCAACATGTCTTGTGCCCGAAATGAATCAAGAAGTGATATCAAACATGGTCTAACCAGTCCGAAAGATAAGGAAACGGCCGACTGTACATGAGCATGTTCACGAAACCAAAAAACAGAAACGCCTAAGTTAAGAGAAGCAACGGATTAATTGGAACTGTCAACCTTCACTGTTGGTTTGGATGGCCCTGAGCAGGCGACTGTAGGGATCTCAATCCTGATTCCTGGTTGGGAAGGGTGTGTTAATGCATACACGCTAGTCACGACCTAAACGGGAAATGACCGGGTAACATGAAAGGCCGCCGGGTAACAGCGCACGTCCGAACTTGAAATCTTTGCTCAGGGTCCTGGAAGCTTCCAATTCGGGGATTACATCTAAGCCAAGTCCGTGCGCCATCAGATATCACCTGTTGGACCAGTCGTCATCTTCCAAGGGTGCAGCTAGCCCCCCCCGAAATGACGCAACAGGCCCCGTGAGACCGAAGCCTTTGCAGGCATCGTGCCATCGGGCCCAGGTGGCCATTTCAAGCTGGATTCTCGGCACACCCAAGCCACTGCAAAGGAAAATTGGGCTGATAACAGTATGCCCCCCCCCCCCCGTTCACCCCTTTTGCAGGCGGCACTAGACGTCACGCACTTGTCCAAGGAGCATTTGCGGCCGTACAATGAGGCAGTACCCCAGGTGCCATCGAACCTAAGCGCCCGGCTCGGCTGGCGGCTGGCGAGTCTAAGATGTCTGCGTGACTCTTCTCGTGTGTGTGTGTCCAAATGTGGGAACCCCAAAATGGGTATGCTGTCCTCCGGTTCTCCCTTTAAAGCACCTCAAAAATCCTCACAAAAGCGCGCGAAGGACAAGACGGTACCCTATGGCGCCCTGCCCTAAAGGCCTGGGATATCTGCGGCACCCCGAAAGTTCATAGGGCCATATGCAGGAGGCAGCCACTTGAGGGACCTGACATCAGCCAAGAATGGAGGTTCACAGGCTGAGGCTCTTGGAAGACCTCTGGTCCTCAGAGGCCAAAGACCACCCCGAAAGGAGGGAACCAGCCCCTAAGAGGACTTGGTGGCTGTTAGCCCTTAGAAGCCTCAAAATCCGAGAAACAATTCATACCCAAGAAAAACACGGTGCTTGTTTACTGTTTGTGGAAACACACTGTTGTCAACTTTGTTTCATCCATAATTCTAATTCAACAGACCATGTATGCATGCACATGGCCCGTGGCCGTCGCCCGTTTGCAGTTCACAGAGTGCTTAGTTCGTCAGAGGTCTAAGTGTTTGAATGTACATGCCAACAATCTCTCCACAAAATCCCATGATCGGCTCAGGCAGTTCTGCCCCGACCAGCGTCGGTTCAAACCAATGAATCCATCATTGCCACAAACGGCAATGCAAAAGCAAGGAGCCCCATACTGTGTGAGGCCACCAAGCACCGGCAGCAAACAATTTAAATTGCAGATTGGGCTTGGGATCAAATGCTCCCAGTCGGGGGAATCACCAGGTGCCTATTCCGGCGCAAGCAATTGAATACAAACTGCAGCTGCGTGCCCCACTCGGGGAAGGAAGGGCTCTCCGAAGGCAATTTCGAGGGTTCCTTTTTTTGAAGAACACACAATGTTTTCAGCGTGCCCTAGGTAAAAGAACGGAGTTTTGTGCAAATGGGGTGGGGTGGGGTGGGGTGGGGTGGGGTGGGATGGTGTGGGGTGGGGTGGCACAACATTCACTTGTGAAGCCCCAGGTATTGGGATTTGAGGGCAGCATTTCGGGGGGTTCTCAGCAACTAGAAGATTGGAACCACATCCCTAAGTTCTCATTGGCAAAGTTGCCCGTGGAACCGGGGACATTTATGCAAAGGGCTAAGCCAGTACCAGTTGTTTCCTATGATCATGATTTCAGTTTGGCTTTGACATACCCCGAAACCCCATTCCCGTGCTTTTGGGCCTTGTAGTAACCTCACTTGTTCAGTCACCCGAGAAAAAAAGGGAACCCTCTTTGGGGAACACCATGTTTAGTGGGGCCACCAAAAAAAGGGGAAAAATAATTAGTGCCACTGAACAACTGAGACCCCTATAGACAATTGTTAGTTTCCTTTGAGGGAATCCCTAGAGTCATAACCCTCATCCCCTACCCCTCATCCTGCAACCAAACCCATATAACCTTTGGTGTGCCATACGCTGCCCTAGAAATGAACTTTTAGTAGTTGGCCCGCGGCTCAGATTCCGAGGTGGGCCAAAACGCGGGTTTCAAGCGAAGCCGCGCAAAGCCCACACCAGCCAAATGGGAAGCACAATCGCAACCAGGGAACCAACCAACCAACCAAACAACCAACCAAACAGACAAACAAAACAAACGAACGGACAAACAAACAAACAAACAAAACAAACAAACAAACAAACAAACAAACAATGTAACAAACAAACAACGCAAACATAACACGACAACCAACACAAACTCAGAACACAAACGCACACACAAACACTACACAATAACACGCAACACAAACGCAGGC